GGGGTCCCCCTAAATCATAATTCAATCATCAGGCTTGTGGTGGTAACTGCCCCTTGCCTCGCTTAGGGCAGCACGTCTGTCGAGTTCCGTTTGACAGGGTTTGTCCAGGAGAGCTCTGTGGTGCCAAAACAGCCCCTTGGGCTCCTTGTGGCCGCATGGCCCTCAACCCAATTTAGGGTTTAGGGTTTATAAGCCCTAAACCCTTGCACCCCCAAACCCTAAACCGTAAAGTGCATGTTTGAGGATTTCAAGTTGGCCCTGCTACCAACCGCTACTGCCATTCAGAGCATGGCCGGAAGCAGTGCTCAAAGTGCTCGGGCTTAGGGTTTTAGGGTTTGAGGTTCACCTGTAGCCGAAAAATCTACCTTTCTTGGGTTCCTTATTATGGTTTCGATACATAGTTCCTTTAAAAGGTCCGCCCCAGATCCTCTCTGGGTCTTGATCTGCCCTTGCTTTGGTCTACGCACCTTCATCCAAAGCCCTAAACCCAGAGAAGTGAACCCAAAACCCTAAACCCTAAACTGAGAAAATCGAACCCGAAGGCTCAGGGTTTTGGGGTTTAGGGCTTGGGGATCCTGATGTTGTAGAATTAGGGCTTCCTCAAGGACGAAATGAGCCCTAAAAGAGTTTAAGGTTCATATACCATACAGGGATTCACAATATAAGGGTACAGGGCCCCTACTTTTAAGGGTAACTTCGTCTTTAGGGTTATAGGGATTTTGACATGAAGGGTCTGAAGCTTAGGGATTATGGTATTACAGGGTTTGCGGATCATAGGGGTTATGTTATAGGGCTAAGGAAGTATGCGTCAAGGGCTTGGGGATTATGGTGTTTTGGGCTTAGGGCTTGGGCTTGGGGACCATGATGTTATGGGTTTAAGGTTTAGGGTTTAGGGTTGTGGGGCTGAGGGAGTATGATATTGTGGGGTTGAGGGCTTGGGGATTATGGTGTTACAGGGCCTGTAGGGTTTCGGGATTATGGGTAGCATAGGGTTCAGGCCACAAGGTTGAAGGTTGGAGGTTCATGGGAGGTTAGATGTGGGGTTTCCAAATAATCACCGATACTGTTCCCAGGGCTCCAAAGCAAAGTCACACAACAATATATATATATATATATATATGTATATATATCTCTCTCTCTCTGTCTCTCTCTCCCTCTCTCTCGCCTTCCTTCTGACAAACCCCATTTTTACTTCTCAGGGCTCCTGAGGCAACTGTACTTCCTAGCATGTCGAAATCCAAGGGCAGAGTGACAGATCAGGGACCTTCAGACGCGTGAGGTTGTAGGGTCTAGGACTCGGGATTTTGTGCGGACTTCAGGATTTAGGGTGTAGGGCCTGTCAGGGTTTGCAATTTGGGGTTGAGCGCTTCTGCCGGGGCCGAGGCGAATATAGTGGTCTGAACAGCACAAAGTGAAAGTGCCCGCGTACGGATCCAAAATCGCTTCCGCCACATTATGACACCCCTATACCTTCATAAAGCAATAAACCCACAGAGCCCGTTGTCGATCGCTTTAGAGAACCCACAAGGGGCCTGTGTGCTAAACGTTCAGGGTTTAGGGTTTAGGGTTCAGGGTTTGGGTATTATTCACTCCGGCATGTCCTTTCGCCTTCCAGCGAGGTCTGAAGACAAGAAAGCCGTCGATGTGGATGAAAGTGAGGAGGACCTCAACTGTAAGATCCCGTACCTCAAAGTCTGAACCCTAAACCCTAGCCCCTACACCCTAAACCCTAAACCCTAGCCCCTAAACTCTAAACCCTAAACCCTAGCCCCTAAACCCTAAACCCTAAACCCTAGCCCCTAAACCGGACGAGTGAGACCCGCCAGTTCTCAGAAGACGGGTTTCCAGGACAGCGACGACAGCCCCAGCCAGAAGCCCAAAGCGAGATCGAAAAGCCGTGAGAAGAGCCGCGAGTCCAGGCTGGGTTCACGGGATGTTTTGAAAAGGTTTCGTAAGGGTGTCACAAGTGTTGGAGA